AATCGATTCTTTTTCTAAATTGATTTAATAGGCTCCTTGCATCAAATTTTTTTATTGCTGATTTCGATAGTCCATGAAAAATAAGTCAACACGTGTTTTTTTCTTTTTCTTGTGAGTCAAAAATTGACGGAGATACAACGCTTTGAAATGTCCTTCCGACGTCATGACTTTGGTATAATACCACAGCTTTAATACGTTGTGAGTTGTGACGTCGCACATGCTCAGTATATCTATATATATAAAACTCAATATTTGTTATAACTTCCGAAATAATCATATTTGGACAAAATAGAAAAACACGCATCGATTTTTGTCGATTTCCTACAGTTTGCAATAAACAATAATAAATTTATTTTTTCATGCAAATACCCTATTGATGTCTCCATCTAATGAGTTAGATACTTCCTTCTTCAACAGCTTCTTCTAGAGCTGACCAGGCTGATAACCAATAAAGTGGCATTTTTATCGAAAAACTGTATCATCTGGTTCAAGGCTCTACCGGGCCCTAGGCGGCAGAAGGTATGGGGCCTTAGCCCAAAGTAACTTTTTACTGTTTTTGTCCAAATTGAAAAAAAAAGCCTTCCAAAATGCTGCTGGAAAGTGTTTTGGAACGTTCTAAATGGCTTTTTGCAGTTCTAAAGTGTTCTAACTTGGCTTGAAGAGTTCTGGGGCATTCTAGAAGTTTTTCAGTAATTTCTAAATTGTTCTAAAATAACTCTGAAGTTTCTCAATTGCTCCAAAATGCTCCTGAAAATTCTGATTTAGATTTGAACTGTTGTAAATGCCTTTAAACTTTGAAGATTTCTAAAGTTCTACAGCAATCAAAATTTGCTCTAAAAATCCTTCTGAAAGGCGTTTTGTAATTTTTAATCTGAAAAGCGGGAGGTAGTGAATGGGTCAAATGGGGAAAAAAAAAAAAAATTGTTGAGGTGCCACGCCCTAATTTTGTCACATTTTATCACATAGTATATCTACAGAGTGTACGAAGAGTAACGGGATGGTCCATTATCTCTGAAACCAGTGGCTAGTGATGAAATTTGAACAAAATCTTACGAATTCAAAAATTGTATCGACGTTGTTGCCAGACTTACAAATAATAAACTGCTGGACAACTGCTTTCGAGCAAGAAATTTTTTTTACCTAACTTTCAAGCTCAATATTTTTGGGACCATACCAGATATCGCCCTCCGGTATTCACGGGCTAACAGATTAACTTTTCGTGAAAAAAATTACTACACGGAAACCGTAGGTCAATATTTTGGTTCCAAACATATCGAGCTTGAAAGTTAGACGAAATTTTCCTTTTGCTCGAAAGCAATTGTCCAGTAAGTTTTGTTATTACAAGAGGAACTGGACTAGACAACTTATACTTGGACCAAGTAAATTGGCAGGCAGCCTACTTACTTGGATGTTAGGGCCTATCCTGGACTTGGATAAACAGTTAATACAATCCAAGTATCAAGTATCGTCCAAGTGAGGCGTGCGCAGCGTCCAAGACTCCAAATATACTTGGACCGTGTCAACCGAACCTGGCTTAAATGAAGTGGAGCTTGGCATTTTTGGAACTCGAACTCCCCTTATAATCTACAGTCAGCGTCACAATTAAATACATTCAGTTCAGATTAGATTCCCATAAGCTCTCAGGCTTGAGTACATCTATCTTCGTTTGGTATTGGAGATAAAGAAAGATGCAAATAAGCGTTGGGTTGCTAGATTTATAATGAAGTTTTGAAATTATGGTAAAAATAAATAAGGGCACTTGATTCGGAATTATATTTCATGTAATTTCTATTTTTGAGGAAAGCGGGAGTTTTGTTTAAGTGCGCGGGAGGCAGGAGGTTTAGTAAAAAAGCAACCCTACGTAATACAGACCCTAGAAAAGACGTCTTCAAGACTTTGTGTGCTGTCTGGGTAGTGGAAAATCTCGTATCTATTATCTATTACTCGTTTAACGGATGTTCATCAGCAACATGACATAATGTTGGATGGACTCTACCTGAGTTGGGAATCCCATAGCTACAGAACAGTGTTGCCGATAGTGTGCGTAATTCGGGTGGTGTAGTGCGCCTCAGGGCGCAAGGTTTCCAAAATAAGATACTTATTTGATTTCAGAGTGAATTTCGGGCCCCATTGAGCGCCCGGGCCCTAGGCGTCCGCCTAATGGTTAAACCGGCGCTGAAGTCGACACTTGACCAAACATTCTGACACCATAGTAGATAATAAAATAAACAAAAAAATAGTAGATAACGTCCACAGTTAGCAGATTATGTGAATCGGCCTTTTGAAAACCTTCCTTCATTTTAGCCATAGTACCTTTTCTACCTTAATTTCGATAAACCCTATAACACAGAGATCGACATGAAGGAGATAGCAGCAAAATCAAAATACTTGTTAAAAGTTAAACAAACTCTCTCGTTAAATTAAAACCGAACTATAATAATAATAACAATAATATTAATATGAATTTTGTAGATTTACTTATGAAACGATGCTATAGTTTGATGATGGTTAAACGGATTTTTTTTATTTTGTGAACATTCCTATTTAATAGCTGCAAAGTTAAAATTTCACATGAAATTTAAGAGTCAGGATATTGAAACTAGTAAATAGATTTGCGCCAATTACTAGTCGAAGGCCAGACAGATGTAAAAAGCATTTTGCAAGCACCTTCAGCAAGTCATCCATACCACCACTTACAGATAAAAATAAACACTTAGCCACAACATCAGAGGAAAAAGCCAATATGCTGGCCCAAATGTTTTCCTCAAACTCCAACCTAACAGTGCCAAACGGAAAAACTCCACCGTTCATTGAAAGGGTTTCCCATAGTATGCCAGAGGTACCCTTTTGTCACAGAGAAATACGAAAATCCCTTCAAAAGCTAGATACAAACAAAGCAATGGGTCCGGATGGCATTCCCGCAATAGTACTCAAAAATTGCGCCAACGAACTCACCCCAACTTTCGCAAAACTATTCAATTTGTCTTACAGGCAAGGGGTAAATCCATCATCATGGAAGTCTGCCGCAGTACAACCCATTCCAAAGAAAGGAAAAAAAGACAGATCCGTTAAACTATAGACCAATTGCTCTACTTCCGGTGATATCAAAAGTAATGGAAAGAGTTGTGAACAATCACCTAACCAAGTACTTGGAAAAGTACAAAATTATCAACGATAAGCAATACGGATTTCGAAAATATAGGTCAACTGGCGATTTACTTACATACGTCACTCACTTATGGCAAAAAGCGATTGAGTTGCGGGGTGAAACAAGAACAATTGCCTTAGATATATCTAAAGCATTCGACAAAGTTTGGCATGAAAATCTGCTCAACAAGCTCAAAGCAATGGGATTATCGCCGAAACTTTGCACTTGGTTTGAAAGTTACCTAAAGGACAGATCCATTTATGTTGCACTGGATGGCCAGAACTCCAACTCTTACCAAATAAATGCTGGTGTGCCACAGGGAGCAATCCTTTCGCCAACTCCTTTTCTGATTTACATAAATGACCTCATAGATAAAACAGTAAATCCACTTTATTGCTTTGCAGACGATGGCAATGTAGTCTCCTCACTCATACCACCCACAGGTCTTTCCGCACGTGAATTCCATCATCTTAGACTAACTCAAATATCGCAGATAAATAACGACCTGGAGATAATAGAGGACTGGGGTAACAAAAACCTTGTACAGTTCAACGCGCAGAAAACCCAAGCAGCTCTGTTTTCAAAAAAGAACAGCACCGGTGAGCCAAACATCATGCTATCTGGAAGTGCTGTCACATTACAGAGTCAGTTGAACATCTTGGGGGTTACTGCAGAGACCAACATGTCTTGGCACAATCACGTGGCAGATATTGCTAAAAGGGCGTCCCAAAAGCTGGGGGTGCTATTTCGTACAAGACATCTGTACACACCAAGTCAATTGCTGACACTCTACAAAGCCCAGATTCGACCAACTATGGAGTACTGCTCACATATATGGAGTGCAGCACCCAAACATACCTTAATGCTTTTGAACACCGTGCAAAAACGAGCTATCAAGCTGATCAATGACCCCGCACTTACTCGTAACTTGGATGGTCTCGAACATCGCAGATCTGTGGGCGATTTATCTCTCTTCTACAGGTACTATCACGGAAAATGCTCTGAAGAGTTGGCACGTATGATTCCACCGAGAGTAGCGCCTACCAGGCGAACCCGTCAAACAGACGGTAACCATGAATTTACTGTCAAACTAGAGGCACCAAGAACCTCATTATATCAGAATTCATATCTCTGGAGAACAGCATCGCTGTGGAATAAACTCCCTGCGACGGTTTTCCCTGCAGGTTACAACCTGAACCGTTTCAAGACCAACATACACCGACATTTCCGCGCACTTGCCGCTTCTGGAGCGTGATAGGACATTTCCTTGCGAGTGCGCATATCCGTAAAAAAAAAAAAAAAAAAAAAACCTTGATCATCAAGATCAAGAGCATTATTGGAATCCAATAAAACATGTTTGATTTACTCTTTTTCAATGTTCAACAGCAGAATAAACTTGGAAAAGGTACCTAAATCTACAATTAGAATTTGGAAAAAATTGGCATTCATTTGAACAATATAATTAAAGTATAGGTACCAACTTTTGTGAATGGTTCATTAAAAATTAAACAATCACAAACTGGTATTTCTCCGAAATCACTTAAGTTTATTGTAGATGCCAAATAAACCCAAACAATAATTTAGAAATTAATTATAAAAAATATATTCAACACTAATCTCGTCTATATTTCACGCGGAATCAAAAGTGATGACTTCATTTTATAGCCGGTACAGGAATGGTATGGTACCCATAGTGGTCATCGCAAAAGACCCAGACGAAATGTTCCACATTTCTTTTAAGTAACCCATGAGGATGGTAATCTTGATCTCTCTTCTATATAAACACGATGCCACTTCAAGCTGGTCCCCACATCCACCCAGTGATTTAACGGTAAAAGAGTAGGTGCGAGATTTTTACGATTCTGATCAACAAGTTCGATACTATTTCTTCTCATATTGGTACCGCGCTTTGCGCTTCATACATTGGATTAAAATGGCATTAAAATATTTAATAGTTTTATCGATAGTATGTTTAACGAATAGTGAATTAGTTAATACGAACAATACGAAAGAACATTCGAATTTGCGTAAACGAGATGTTAATTCTTACGTTGGTTTAGTTGCGTGCGCTATGAAATATGATATGCCTTGTTTTATTGATGTTGCACAAGATTATTTGGAAAATCGAAGAACTGATCTTTTAGGTAAGTAACAAATATCTTTTTAATTTTATACTGATGAAAAAACTAGCCCTTAAATTAATATAATTCAAGCGCCATACTCATCAGTTACATTAGCCCTATTGAGCTTAAAAAAAATTAATTTTCTATGAAAAATTATCTACCTCTCATTAAAATTTTGTTGTATTTCCTATATATTTATTGTTAAATTCAATCACAAACTATGAGGATTTGAATTTATTTTTATAGAGCAAAAATGCTCTTTTCATTTCATTTCAAAATCAGTTGGTAAATAAGGGGGAAAATTGAAAATCGATTTATACAACTCCGATAGGTAGAACTCTCTTAAGGCCTTAACAACGTGAGGGAATAGCCATAAATCGCAATGCAATTTTCGGATTCCATTCACTTGGAAATTTATGAATGAAAAAAGAATTGATGTTTCAAGATTATTGTTTTTCAATATGAATTATTTATAACTTTTTCAATAGCCAAAATGAAGCAGCGCAATAATAAAGTGATTGAAAAAGAAAATGCATCTTAGGTAGGTACTAGGTACATAGCCTTAATAATAACGAACACCTCGTATACTTTTCAATAAACTTTCCTTCATTAGTTTTCTTGTAATTTAATGGTGTAAAGACAATGCATTAGAGTTAATTAGAAACATTTTATTTGTCTATTTCCCTAACAGACATTTGCATTTTTATTCACGCTTGGTTTCTTCAAATGACTTTTTAAAGTTTTCAACTTTTTAACTTATGTGATAGGTACATATTTTTTTATCAAATATGGAACATAATGCAAGGTGGTTTTCCACTAGCATAATAAATCTCACTTTTTGAACTGAATTAGGTACTTCAAAAAACTTATTCGGAAATTTGAAAATATAAAACCACAACTCATAGAACAACTACCCACCTAAACTCCACTGTCCACTGCAAAATAATTCGATAATTAATCAGAGTCAAATCAGGTGTTTTTCTCTAACTCCACTAACTCCCTAACCCCCGAACTACCTGCTCGTGTCAAAAGAAATAGAAAGACCCTTTTGGTCTTGCTATTTTCCCTTTTCATTCTACACAATCACAATTGACGTCTAATTTTTTTTTTTGATTTGGGATTAAAAAGTGACATAAATTTGTTTGATGTTGACGGAAATAGCAGTGAAACTAAGCACCTAAATGGGAATAATTAAGAAATTATTCAACTATGAATTGGACTATATGGGGGCTAGAACAGTGGAGAAGTAAACCGTACATTATACACAAGACATAATTGAGAATTCCTCCACTTGAAAAAATCATGACTGGCACCCCCATAATTCGCATTTACATTGAGAATAATTTGGCTTTTTTTTGACTTCCTTTTCTGCTTGGGTCATGGGAACCTTTATCCAGCCTGGTGTAATGGTTACAATGGGTATACACCTCCGAAAGAGCTCAATATGCAAAGACAAAATTAATAAATGAAAAAAATAACATTGACAATCAAAAATTAGTTCAGGTTCAGCCACTCAGCGGGAACTTTATTCTCGAAACAGGGGAGCAGCGTTCTCATTGGAACGAAGGTTCTGTCTTTGTCGTCCGGCATAACACTGACAATGACAGAGCAATCGTTCTTATGAGAACGCTGTTCCTTGGTTTCGAGAATAAAGTCCCTGCTGAGTGGCTGGTCGATAGAAAGAATTTTTTTTCTTTGCTATTATTTTTCTATTTCTATTTCTATCGAGTTAGAGAGTTCGCCTACTGATATTGTTGTGTGTGTGATATATCCGTTTCCAGCGTCTTTAGAAGGAACGATGTGAGGCTTATTAGTCTGAATGATTTGGGGTCTGTCCCCTGTTTCTTGTCTGCCTTAGGAATGAAAGTGACACTTGCACTTCTCTATATTTTGGGTACCTACATATTTCATGGCCATACTGCTTCTGGTTATTATCTACAAGGTGTGGCATGGATCTCTATTGTTCCTCTTTATAGGAGTGCTGGAAAGATCTTGTCCACTAGTCATCATTATTTTTAACTGTTAACAGTTATTAACATTATTAAAATATATACATTTCTATTCCATAAATCATTCTTCTTGTTTATGATGCCACAAAACCATTTTGACCTAGGGGATTTTCAAATTTCAATACACCTAATTAATAACCATCTGAATGAACATTGAATTATTAATGAGACACCATCAAGATCGCAGTAAAAAATGTGTGTCACACGATTTCTCGGGTATCCGCGATTTTATTGGCATTTTAACGATAAATAATAGCTAAAATTTCAAAAATTCAGGCGTGAGTGGATATTTATCTTTTATCAAATAATAATAATTTAAGTATTTAATTGTTCTTTCATGTGGGAATAATACTTTTAATAGAAAGTTAGATGATGTACTAGAAAAAGTAAGTATGGCGCAGGGTGGAGCAATTTCCATAGATTTAGGTGTGAAACGTATTATAAAAAAAAAAAATCTTATGTTTTTATATAAGGATTTATGACTCAATTCTTTCACATAGCTTGTAAAAAGCTTGAAAGTTTCTATATTAGGCGAATTCGGTTATCCTCCGCGAGCTAAAAGATGACATTATTGAAGGAAACTCACATGATCTTTCATTTGAAGTTAAAAAACTGGTCACATGAGGGTTGTCATCTTTTTGTTCGAGGATTAACCGAACTCTACTATTATTTGTGAGTGAGATAGGTTTTTCAATACTTGTATTGACATTTTTTGCTTGCAGGTGCATTAGATGCTATTTCTACTACTCCACCTGCAAACTGAACAACTTCTAATGCACGGGCTACGTAAATCACGGTGTATACTGGCTTTTAGTACCTTGAGAGATTATGTGTCCTGAAAGCAACATTAACATTACATTTCGAATATTTTCTGTTCTGTTAGCACCTCAATTTACTAGGCCACATGAAACATATTGCAATCATAAATGATTATCATAATAGTATAGAAAGAAAACAACATTTCAAGGAAATCAAATAGGTACCTACTTAGATAACCCAAAATATCTATGTATGACCTACAAATACAAATAAATAGGCAATTTACATAATTTTCAGTGCAATAAGAATACCGAAACAAATAGCTCGATTCGAGATTCTGTATTACCGTTAGAAATTGTGCTTATGACCATATATAAGTAATATATTCCATCATGACATCCATTCCTTAATGGTTTGAGTAGGGAAGTAATGTGATGCAATAAAGATGGAAATCGAAAAAGTGAATTTTGGATCAAATTATTGTTAGCAGTGATATAACAAGTGCATTAAATTGATCCATTCCTATACTTCCGTGACAAAAATTCTAGAAGATAATGACTATTTGTTGTTGCTTACCTATAGATACCTAACATAGTTTTTTTTTAAATATTTTCTAAAAATGGAAATATAAAACTCTCTTATGATGATTAAATTGAGCTTAGAATCCTCTTCCTTCATGTAAAATCCAGAATCCATCAGTCACTCTGACCTTTTAAGTAGGTACCTACTGTCTTTATTCTACATACCTATCCATTTTGTCTAATAATCTTTTTTTCATGTGGTAGATTTGTTTCTGTTTTGTGCTATGTATTAATGAGAATTAAATTTATTTTCATTACTTTTTGTTGTTTATCACAGTACTTTTACTGGATCACTGATGTATTCATTGTACGTCTCGTATTTACTAAGATCAACTTCAATTTTAATACTGCTTCCTACGTTTTGAATTCTTTTTTCTTTCTCAATTTGTATTTCAATTTATTTCTGTGTCATTATTGTTTTCACTTGTCATTGTATTGCAATTTATCTGGGCCGTGTTCGTTATTGTCATCTTTTTCGTCGATTTGCTCCGAAATTTTGACAGGCACGTGACTGGATTAGACAGTTTCAATTTACAAATCACGTGCCTGTAAAAATTTCGGAGCAAATCGTTGAAAAGTAATGCCAATAATAGTTATTTACATTACAAGTGTGTTTATGAACATGATCACAATAACGAGTGTGGAAGATTAGAACGACGAGGTCGTAGACCGAGTCGTTCTAATCAAAAAAGTTTTGTAGTCATCTTCAAACGCACGTGTGATGTACAAAGTTGTATCTACAAAGCGAAAAATAAGGAAAGGTTATTGCAATTTTCGTTTTTTAGTAGTTGTCTACCTTCATTTTACCTTACAGGTTTAACTATGACATTTGTCAAATCACAAAAACCAGTTGTGTTATAGATTCATAACATAGACCATAAATACCACTAGTTATGTTATAGACTTATAACCTAGTCCATAACACCACTAGTTGTGTTATGAGTCTGATAACACAACTCAAATACTAGAAAAATGTTTAGGTATGTAAAAACATCATAACCAAATGCTTGTAGATAATAGTTATTTACATTACAAGTGCGTTTATGAACATGATTACAATAACGAGTGTGAAAGATTAGAACGACGAGGTCGTAGACCGAGTGGTCCTAATCACACGAGTTTTGTAGTCATGTTTAAACGCACGTGTGATGTACAACGTTTTATCTGCAAAGCGAAAAATAAGAATGTTTTTTCCATTATTTCTGTTTATTAGTAGTTGTCTACCTTCATTTTACCTTTACAGGTTTACCTTTGACATTTAGTCAAATCATCAAAAAGTTGTGTTATAGATTCATAACCTAGTCCATAACACCACTAGTTGTGTTATGAATTCATAACCTAGGCTATAACACAACTAGTTATGTTATGAGTCTCATGACATAACTCAAATACCAGAGAAATGGTTATGTAAAAACATCATAACCAAATGCTTGTAGATAGAAGAAATAAAACTTTTTTTTGATATGAAAATAGATTCATCTTTGAAGGTTTCTCAGCTTTTAACAAATTACAAATTCACCATAGGCAATGATTATATATATAATATAGAACTCTGAGAGCTAAAATCAAACTTCACTCAGAAGCAGATGACACGAGAGCCTTCAGGGCTGGGACTCTGTAACGAATAGAGATATTTTCTCTATATTGACGTCTCCTCTCTATTGATTTCGACAAGAGAGAATAAGCGATATGGATAACGATCTCTATTCGTTTCAGAGTTCCAGCCCAGTCAGACTCAACGATTCGGGACAATGGGTTGATAGAGCCAATCAAGGATCTTTATACAAGGTCCATCTAACTGCAAAGAGGCAAAAAGCCTCCTAAAACTAAACAGGAGCCAATTAAGTGTCAGAAAGCAGCATAGAAGAAAAATAATAAAGGGAATACAATTAGAAGGGTACTTATTATTGAAACAGGGTAGCAGGTAGCAGTGTTCCGAGCAGAACGAGTATTCCGTCTTTCTCAATGACATGCAAATGATAATATAAAACGGAACACTGGTTCTTCTAGGAACGCTGCTACCCTGTTTCAAGAATAAGGACCCAGAGCCATGAGAAAATAAGTAGGTACAACGAAATAGAAAGAAATCAATAAACGTCCAATCATAATAAATACCTACTCTAATAATATGATACCTCTAAACAACAAAACATCTTCACTTTTCAATTTTCAAAGAAAGTTATTAAACCTACATATTTCATTAACTCGATATAATAACAGCTTTTTAGGAAAACCAGATTTGAAAATCTTCACACAACAAGGAAATAATAAATAATAATCTTTATAATTAAACAATAAAACTTGCAATAATTAGTCTTATTCCTCAATGATTTCTCGTTTCTTTACCGGTCGGATACACAAAAATGCGTGGACGGATCCGGATATTCTCGATTTTAAACGATCACGCAGTCAGTTAAGGAAAAAAGAAACCGCAATTTTTGGCCCAATTATTTTCATCAGTATTGCAAGCTGTAAAGTGGGCAGTGTCCAATTGTAGTTGGCTGTCAAAAAAGGTTACACATTATTTAGAAAGTTGGTCACTTATTACTCTGGGATCATCTTGTTGTCAATTAAAAGTATTGTGGCCCGGATGGATTTCAATCAAAAAATTTTTCATCCATTTAGTTTATTATAAGATTTTGGATAAAAATGTTAAGACAATAGAACTGGATTTCTTGCATTTTATGCATCCTCGGCATTTATATTGTTTTTCCTGATGTCTTTTATAAAATTTGTTTGTGATATTTCATTAATTTCTTTATATTCCATTGTATAGGGTCAGAGCTCATCATGTTCTCCTTTTTGTTTTTTCATTCCTTCCTACTTTTCTACTGTTTCTAAAAGTTTTTCTAAGATTTACTTTTCCATGTAAAGTTTCTAACAAGCTCTTATTTTCATTTTCCAGCTCAAGCCGATGCTCAAATGCTTGAATCGGGTCGATCCGATCCAGACAGTAAGCCTTCACATCTAGCTGACACTCTCACCAAATTAATATCAGAAATAACCGACATGTTCCAGAATGGATTTTCTGGGATTTTCGATGCTGGACGAGAAGCAGCGGATGACGAAGAAAGTGATTTAGAAAAAAACGAAACTGAAATGACTACCACTGGTGATAGCAATGGAGGTATGTAGTGATTTATGTTGGAAATTGAAGTTTTTGTGTGTGTGTGGTGGGATTTGTGTTGTGTGTGTTTTTTGGGTAAATTTATCAAATTTCAAAATTCATCAAGTTTCCCTTCAGGTTGAAATCTGTATCTAATTTCATAAATTTACCCAAAAAAATATTGCTTTATTTGTCGATCATATACTTAGTTAGTATCAATATTATTCATTTCATTCATCATATTTATCACTTTATCACTCGACATATCACTCATATCAGTACAATGAAATACATAATTTGATTCTTCTTACAGCGTAATTATTAAACATATTTAATATTTCAAGAAATTTCAAGAACACAAAAAGGAAATTATTCTTTACTGACTATGCTTGTAGATCCATATTATGATTGGTTTTTAATCGCCTAAACCTGTCATATTTTTCCAGAGGCACGTGGCAAAAAGAAAAAGAAGAAAAAACTCGATTCTTTACTCAAACTCTTTGCTATCGGTGTCATAATTTACTCGAAAATCTCTCTTATCCTCAAACTTATACATACTGCAATACAAATAAAATTCTTCTTCCTCGCTCTCGGTGGTTTGTTGCTTCACGTCTTCAAATTTTGGCTCAGCTTCAAAAAGGACGCTCATCCTACCAAGGTTATTTACTACGAACATGCTCAGCATCAACACCATTACGGTCATGGTGAAGATGATGGGCATTCGATTTGGGCTCGAGCCTTGAATCAGGATTATGATATGTTTATTGTGAATGATACTAGAATACCAAATTATTATTGATTGAAATCAATTTATCTTTTCCATAAGTAACAAAGGAGATTCTTTATTTTTGAATCCTGTTTCAGCTGATAATTCTTTTTATATATTTTTCTCTCTATACCTAGGTACCTACTTCCTAAATTTGGACAAAACTTAATTTCCATCTTAACTGCGCTATCCGTGATATTTATTCAATATCTCAAACTTTCACTTCAAAAACTGGGCAAATTCCTCCTAAGCCATTAATAAATTTGTTTAACATTATTTGGAGTTTGAAATTCTTCTTTTTTCATTTTTCTATAATTTGTTGCTCCCATTTTTTTCTTTTCCCATGGTTATACTTTTTTTTTATTCCAACATTTTTGACTTATCTAATTCCTAGTTCTGAATTTTTATTTCTCTCTATGTATTTTCACATTCACATTCTTGAAAATCAAGAAAGTCATGGACTCATCCACAAAGGCCACCCAGCAGTCACACACCATCAATACTTAGCAAAACGTAGAAAAAATTACAAAGGACACATTTGAGGAGTGAAACCTACCACAAACATTACATACATATTTATATTTTTTCATTAATCTTAGTAAGTTATTTTAAATTAAATGCATTTAGCCAAGTCAGAGAGAGTTTTCTTTAAACTTTTGTTGTGAAAGGAGAGCAGCCAAAATTGATAACAGCCTGCAATCAAAATGCAGCCAAAAACTAACAAGTGCCAAGTTTGGCCCAAATTTCGGTAGAAAGTGCTTGAGATATTCAATTTCAGCTGCTTAATACATCAGTGCCCCTAAAAAAAAAAAAAAATAGGTACTGAATCATTTTGTCCGTCAGTTAAAAATTACGACATACTTTTCATTTGCCGAAATTATTCATTAATGGTGTCTCTCGGTCATATCATACCAAAAGAGCAGATGCACGGTAATTTTGGTTCACACGCGTGTGAAAGTTGTTTGTTGAATATATTGGACCAAATGACCAAAATCAGGTTTTAAGTACCTATAAGACCAATTTTGCCTTCAAATCGGTACTTCTGTTTTTTTAACAATAAAAATAAAATTGGAATATTGTTATTATATGTGTTAGTTAGTGTTTTTAGATTTTGTGCAAAGCTATAAAGCTAAATACCAGGTAGGTGTATTCTGTAATAATTTGTGCATGTAACAAGCCACTTTATGCATGATTTCATCGTTTTGCATATTACAGATTACACACACGCTTATATTGTGCATGATTAGCTATTGATTAAACTGATTTTGCATGCTATTCTCTCAATAGATGAATGTCCTAATTTATTTATGACATATTTAGAATATTTTATATTTATTTATGTATGTCATTTATTATCGAAATTTATTAATGGTCAATGTGAATTTCCATGGAAAATATTAATCTCTCAATACAAATTTCAGGACGTATAGGTATTTCACAAAAATAAATCATTTGGTATTTTTAGGATATTTTTCAACCGTGAATATGAAAACCTTAATTTCTTTAGAAACATTTTAAAATGATTGAATTTTTCCTGCAAAAGAACAACTGTACTCCATGTGGACTATTCCACTAAGTAATTAAAAAGGAACAAATAAGACTAAATATTGGATTTGTATCTCAAATACACAAAACATAATTTGAGATATTTTCGAGATCAAACTTAGGAGCGAGTTGAAATTGTTTCAACCCTAAAACAAAGTATATACATTTTTATTTTTATAAAGTTTATATTTGGTATATTTTTATAATTTAATTTATTAAGTAAGGGCTAAAAAGTAAGTACATTTATTTTATTAAAGCATGTTTTTACATTTAATGGATTGCATGGTGCATGATGACAGTACCATTTCAATAAACTATACCTAAATACTCTGTTTTTTAATCCCAGGGTACACATAAATGTGTCAGAATGCATTTATTATAGTTAGTTCATTGGCGTGCCTACATAACATAATAGGAATGCAAGTAGATTATAATTGCTAACATATTTTACCTACGCCTGTGGCAGTGTCGGACTGGGAGTCATTTGGCCCACCGGGCAAATGGTGAAGTGGCCCACCCAACCCAAACCCCATTCAATAAAAACAATTTTGATAATCATTTGTTGAATCTGGTGTCTAGTTATATTAAAGGCATAAAAAAAATAGGTAGGTACCTATAAAAAAAAGGTACAGGGTGTTTTTTTATATATTGACACCCCACCATGGACAGAAACAAAATTTGAATGTCAGAAATGTGAAATTTTGCATGCTTCCAGCTTTTTTCAAATGGGATACCCTATATTTCATTCTATATTCTTGAAGAACAATGTTCCAATTCCAAAAATATATAGTTTCTCTATATTTGATTAAACAGTCTCTCATATATTCGGCTCCAAAAATTGTAAAAATACTATCCTACTCCTTATTTTGTGAATGATTCTACCTGTGCAGATGAAAGCTGCAGGTAAAATTGAGGTACTTAGTTTCTCTGATAGTATTTTTAAATTTTTTAGAACCAAATATTATGTTGGAGACGGCTCAACCAAATACAGACAAACTATATAGTTTTGGAAGCAGGAAATTGTAGAAAATATAGAACCAAATATAGGGCATCCCATTTGAAAAAAGCTGAAAGTATGCAACGTTTTATATTTCTGACATTCAATTTTTGTTTCTGAACATGGATTCTAAAAATTTAGCCAATACTGTCCATCTTTTTACAGCTTTCCATTTACTTGTAAAGGTGAAGGCTGTAGGTGGGGTGTTAATTTTAAAAAAAATCCTGTACTTGAACAATAACTTATTATATAAAGTCAGAATTTGTAAGATTATCCACTTTTTGTCAATTTGCCTTTTAACAGGAATTAGTAATGTTATTTTACCAAACTAGTAATATGATGTGACAAGTTATTTAAGTACCAACGGGTGGATTGTTGTGGAACTTATGGGTGTTCCTCTGCGTATGTTGCTTAATTACGATGCTAACCTGACTCACTCAAATGTGAGTTATTCTCATTAGTTTAAAAACTACACGTTTCAGGTGAATGTCTTATTTGAATAGATGGCTGAAATTTTGCATGCTTCCAGCTTTTTTCAAATGGGATGCTCTATATTTCATTCTATATTCTTGAAGAGCACAATGCCCGGATCTATATTTGATTGAGCAATCTTTCATATTCGGCTCCAAAAATTGTAAAAATACTATCCTACTACCTATTGATTTTGTGAACCATTCTACTTGTAAAGTCCGTCGATTTTAATCTGATACTCGGAAGAAATGTGAGCTGGTGACACCCTACATTAGAACGCCAATCGCCAATGTTCACCTGACGTCACACCTGTTTTTGCCATATATTTCACCCCCTCGCTCCTCATACGGCAAGCGTCAGATAAAAATCGACCAACAATATAGATGAAAGCTGCAGGTAAAATTTGAGTTACTTGGTTTCTCTGATAGTATTTTTAGAACCAAATATGTTGGAGACGGCTCAACCAAATATAAACAAACTATATAATTTTGGAATCGGGAAATTGTGCTCTCCAAGAATATAGAACCAAATATAGCGCATCCCATGTCGCCATATGGCAAGCACGACAATTTCAAGACAAATTGGACTTTGAAGTGAATGTAAATGAACCATTAAGCTTCAAATTTTTGTCATTTTCATAGATAAAAATTCGTCCCTCTCAAATTAAGCAATTTTTGACAGATGTCAAAGTCAAATTTGTAATTGAACGACTCATCAATTGTTTCATGTAAAATATTGACTTGAAAATGAGTGAATTAAAGGAGTAGATATTCACTCATTACTTTGATTAACTGATTAATGAACTGCTTAATGAATTAAATGAGTCTTGTCCGATTATACATTTTATACTCATTACTTTGATAAACTCATTATAGGCCAGCAGGCAAGTAATAAATAAGGGGGTACCTAGCTGGAAAGTATTCTGAAGTTAATGATATTTTGGCAAGTCGTTTGTGGATAGTTTTCGACCTCGAGGACCCTGTGCTAACTTGGACGGAAGTGGAAAAACTTAGAAATTTTCAAACTTTTTCAGTTTTTTGCTTATAACTTCTAAACCATGCGTTTTTAGCGGAATACACCTATTTATAAAGTTGAAGAAAATTAAATTTAACTGGTCAAAAGTATTCTTTAACGCAATAGTAACCAAAAATTTCTTCCCGTTCGAACATAATTAGTTATAATTATTTTTTTATTGTATCCTATTTTAATAATTATTTTTGGAAAATTAACCCTTTTTTAATTTGGATCATGACGTCATCCGTGCTCAACTCGCCTATCTACTGACCATCCACCTTTCCTAGAGACAAAAGAGCTATTCTCAATAGGCACAGGAGCTGTTAATCCTGAAGTTATGAACTGCCACTTAGCTCGAACTATTGGTATCACCTGTATGAAGACATGTTTGAAAGAAAAGAATTTTCAAGACATAAAATTGAAGCGGAAAGATAAGGTTGTTTGTTGTTTCTCTAGCATCTGTTTCCTGTTGTGTGAAAATTAATGACAGAAAGTTCACAATAGATCCTCTCACTCTTTTCAACGGATTTGCATAATAAAATAATCAGATGATGACCTTAGAAACTTGTTCAAGTACGAGCTAGCCCCCATCCCGATGTGTCTCTTCACAGAGGAAGGTATGCACAAGGGCAAAAGTCAATGTTGTATGCGGCATTCACTCCTATACAAGAACCAGTAGACTTCGGCAGCAGCAAATGCGCAGTTATTGATGGTGGATACCTGCTACATAAGGTCGTGTGGAGCAAATCAAGATATACCACATTTGAATTGGTGTGCCAGAATTACGAGGATTATGTTCAATGCTTTAGTGGTTTTTGATGAGTATTCTGTTGGCATAAGTTACCAAAACACCAAAGCAGTAGAGCGATATCGACGATCTTTGCTGCACTCATAGTCAAAATTTGTGTTTCCCAAAATTATATGGCAAAAACTTGCATTTCTATGCTTTTTTTGATAATCTGAGATATTACTTGAATTTTTGAACCACTATATCTCAGTAACTATTGGATCGAATACTTTTGGCCAAGGAAATTTGAAGTTCGTCAAATTTGTAGAACAGTTATAAGCAAAAAACTGGAAAAGTTCGAAAATTTCGAATTTTAGTTGCAGTTACCGCGGAAAATAATTCAGGTACACAGTAGACATAATATATCGTCTGTGGGTGCACGTGAAAAAGATGAGGATGAAATAGGTATGTTTATCCCATGGTTGGTTTGAATTGTGGTCGACCGGAAGAAATTTTCGAAAAGTTGAGAATTTTTGAACCACTGTATCTCGGTTACTATTGCGTTAAATGATACGTTTGACTAGTGAAATTTAAAGCAAATTTATTGTTCTTCAACTTTATAATTAGTTGTATTCCGCTACAACGCATGGTTTAGAAAACATAAGCAGAAAACTGAAAAAGTACGAAAATTTCGTGGTTTTTGACTCACCCTAAGCTAGTACAGGGTCCTCGAGGGCGAAAACTCAGATTTTACTCCACAGACTACCCACAAATGACATACCAAAATATCATTAACTTCGGAATACTACAGAAAGTACTGTCTGCTGGATTATTAATGAAGTAAATGTTGTCCGATTATGAATTTTATACTTTCAGATTTTATAAATTAAAGGTATTTTATTATATAAAATTGTTATGTGTCAATAGGTACCTACTAGATTTAGCACGAATATGTACGTACAGTACAACAAGTGACCATTAGAAATTGGAAATGGAAACATTCGCATTTGCATAAAAAGTTGTTTATCTATACATGCTACGACAATTTCCAGAGGATCTGGAACTACTTCCATATTTATTGTTACATAATGTTCATTGGAAGAGAAGGGTTTGAAAAGCAAAATTCATTTTATGAATTTATTTATTCCACAGTAGGTATTTACTCAAAAACCTACTTATAAACTAACCATTTAACCCAAACTAACATACTTTTAACAAACGCATGTTTACTAACCAAAAAATGCATGTTATTAACCATCAATGATAACACTTGGATTAATCTATCTATTGTTAAAATACTTACATTTCAATTGAGACGTATAACAATAAAATTCTACAAGTAACCATTATTCCGATTTTAGAAACTCGAGAACTAAACAAAAGCGGCTCCGGCATCAAAAAGAAAAAGAAGAAACCATTGAAAAGCCTCATCAGACTTATAAAAGTGGGCATCGTGGCCGTAATAATCGTCCTGAAACTTTCCGTGGTCCTGAAAGTGCTCCAAACGGCGATGCAATTTAAATTCATGCTAATTTCCTTGGGTGGTTTTGTTATTCAGGCGGCGAAACTTTGGATGTCGGTCAGGAACAAGAAGGACATGCACGGCCACGAAGAAATTGTTTATAAGAGTCCTTATGGTACTGACGCTGAGTATTCCAGTCCGCCTGGCGGTGCCGTTTATGGTACTGGAGATTATAATGCTAGAAGTGGACAGGATATGGCTTATGCTTCTCAAAGAAGCATGATGTAATTTGACCATATAATAAATATCAGGCTTATTTAAATCAAATAAGTGATTATATGTATAGGAGTGGTGCAATACAATTTCAGTTTCTACAACCAAGATTGAGGTAAATTTGTGCTTTTTTTATAAGCATTAAAAGTGAGTCATTATTGACTCTCTTTATTTGGTACCTATGTGTAACATTTAGCAAATGAGTGATGTACTTACTCGAACTTAGAAGTGATTATCAATTTGACCTCATTTTCTCTAACAATTATTGATGGGTGTGGGGGTGTTCCTAAATATCATGTACAAACTGAAGGGGGTGATTCTTTGGTTTATTTTATGACTGAAATTTCTAATTAACATAGGTCTACAAACGCTTCGTTATCGATCTACAGGGTGTTGAAATTGTTATATTTTTTTAGTTTTTTCTTTATAGCTCCTGCAATTGTTGAGGGATTTAGCTCAAACTTGGAATATAGACTACGCAATAGGAGCTAAATGATTGCACATGTCAAACTTTTGCCAGAATCTACAGGTTGATGATTTATCAAGGGTCATGCCCGATTTTCTGCCCCAGAACTTTTTTGCGGTGCGCTGCTGGTGGATTCTAAAAAACAAAATAATTTTGCTACCTTATTTACAAAGTTTTTGTTCCCCTGTAGTTTATTTCGATTCATTGACCCTTATCGAGAAAAAAAATAAAAAGCAAATCTCTGTAATTAGCTAAATGAAACTACAGTGACTCAAAAAACCTTTTCTACCTACAGTGGCAACAATAGAGGTCCCGCCGCCATATTCTTGCTCATTTTCAATAGGAATCTAGAAGTAAGCCACGCCCTCGCCTCCATATTCTTGCTCGTTTCCAATATGGATACATTGAAATTTAAACACCCTGTAGATCGGTAACAGAGCATTTGTGGATCTATGTTTATTAGAAATTTTAGTCAGAAAATAAATCAAAGAATCACCTCCTTCCGTTTGTACATGACATTTAGGAACACCCTGTCTATTTAGGATATATAGATTTTTCTGTATTGTGTGTTCAAATGTGTGCGTTATGTATTATGTTAGTTTTACAGTAAATTATTTATTATTATTTATTCAATATCGTGGTGCCAAGATAAAAATAAAGTAATAGTTACCATGAATGTTTTGGTTTTTCATTTATAAAGAAACTATGCACTTGTGGAACATTTGATAAGTATTCCAGAGAACGGGACAGATTGACTGTTCAACCAAATTTTTTCTCAAAACTACAGTAATGATGGACTTTTTTAGTAAATACTCAAGTTTCCGTTGTTTCATGAGAGCTACTGGACTTGGTCAACCCAGGAAATTCTTAGGATTCTTCGGTAAATCCATAGTTCAAAGCTTTTGATCCTTTTTTCTGTTGCTTCAGACAACGTCCAAGCCTCGAAACCATGTCGTACCACTGAAGAAATATAACATTTTATATCATTCTCTTCTTGTGGGTCATACTGAGATCTGGACACCAAAGAAAGTGCTTCATTTGTGTAAACATTGTTTTGGCCTTTTCTATTCTACACTATATTTCTTTGGAGTGATCCCACTATTCATTGATGTTACAGCCAACGTGAGTGAAACTCTCTACTCTCTGGATAACTTCGTTTTTACAGTACAGCACACCCCGTTGATCAGTGGACTCTTATAAACATGTATTTGGTCTTCCCAATATCCAGTATTGTTCACTCGTGTATGTTACGCCTGTTGGCAAGTTCTTGTAGCCCTTCTAAGATGTCAGCTAGCAGAACCGTGTCATCGGCATATCTGATGTTAATTAGGTCACCATTCACCTTAACGCGATCTGTGATATATTCTAGTGTCTTCCTAAATATTTTCTCCGAGTAGAGGTTGAACAACAAGTACGATAAATACAACCCTGTCGGACCCCTTTGATTTCCAAGGTGTTCGACTCGTTGTTTTCCAGATTTATGGTTGCTTTCTGATTCCAATCTTATGTCTTTTTCATCTAGTTTTTCGTTCACCTCATAAACAAGCTTGCCCCGTTCATCCATAATGACTTTTGTTGTTCTTTTGTGTGACTTTTTTGATCTTTTTGTACATGTTAAACGCGTCATGCTTACGATCAAGATTTCCAATTTCTTGACATTTCTAACTCATCCATCATTCCTTAGCTTCCCTAATTTTTTGTAATGGCACTATGGATTTGTCGATAAGGTACGGGGTCGGCAGTTTTCCGTCTACCATCCGTCATCTCTGAGATTTCCTCGGTCATCGACTGCTTCTTCTTTTGCCGATTTTTAGCAGGAGTTTATTCTCATTGCTCATTATTTGGCACATGGCTCAATGCTTTTGAATTCCTTTTAGTAGTACAAGAAAGTGACTTCACCGATTCTTCGAAAGCTATCCACAATTGTCTTCTATCTACTGAGCATCTTCTAGTGTTGTCTTCTGTTGTTCCACTCTTATCTTCCATGTTGTATTTTATGCTGTTTCGAAACCTCTGACTGATTAGGATAAAATCTAAATCCCCCGTTTACCTCTACTATTTCTTCGCTTTTGTCCGATGTGAGGGCATATATTTGAATAAGATTTATGTTAAAAGGTTCTCCCCTGGGCTTTAGCAAAATAATCCTGTCAGAGTATGGCAGACAGTCAATCATGGAAGGTTTCAAGTCATTATACTTATGAAAAAACTAACTAACCGTAAGTGGTATCTCTCTTCGTTTCCAGAATAATATACCATAAGGATCTTCCACTTAGCATTCTCCATTTCTTTGCGATCTCATTGCACTGATACCTATACCCATCAGGTTTCGGTTTACTCCACTCAAGCTCATTGGATGTCGAAACTATAACTTCCTGTAAGTGGTTGCTCTCTTCGTTTCCAGCATAATATACCATAATGATCTCCCACTTGGCATTCTCCATTTCTTTGCGATCTCATTTCACTGATATCTACCCATCACGTTTCGGTCTACTCTACTCCAGCCGTGAAGATGGTGTGGGGTACACCGAAACGTCGGCATTGATTTTATAATCAACTAAACGTTCGATAAGCCAGAAAGGCCACTTGCACCAATATTTCAAGACTAACTTAAGTCGGACTTATCTTTAAGCCGAGACAACTCTAAATTTTAGTTGCACCAGCAGTCGAGCTAGAGTTAAAGTAGCCTTAAATTGAATTTTCTTAAGCCGCCAAAATTCAGGCCTTAAATTCGACTTAACATAATATAAAGGTGGGTTCTAACAGAAAATTGAATCTAACTTAACATTTAAACTAACCTAAGAAGTTCGGAATTAGGCAATTCAAACCACGTGACTTTCAAGATGGCGTGGCGGCTACACATGGGCCAAAAAACACAAAAAAATATCTAGATTCTGCACGATTTATCAGTTTAGGTACCTAGTCAACAAATATTTTATTAAATAATCCAAATCAAAGTTGCAAGCAAAACTCTAAGCAAAATAATTTGAAATACGCATAAAAACACATTCAAAACAAACTTGCTTGGCCGCCACGCCATATTGAATTTTCCTATCTGACAGATGGATTGAATTGCCTAATATGCAGGCTAACGACGGCGTTCATACAGCTCCACTTAACTTAGTATATAACCTAACTTAACAAGAAGTCCGCCAACTTTTATCTTTTCCTTAAATTAATGTAGATTTAGGGCATTGCGGGCATACGTCATACGTATCATTGGCAGAATATATAAATCTTGAATTAAATTAAAGTTCTTATGAACGACAAAAAATAAATTTAAATTGAGTCTTAAGTTAGGTTAGGTTAAGTTAAGTTAAATTTTTTGTTAGAACCCATTAAGGGCCGGTTTCTCAATAGCGATTCACCTCCAGTGGTTTTAACTCCAGGGTAAGCGTGTCGAGTTGCTATGTTTACCCTGGAGTTATGCTTAACCCGGGGGTGACTCGCTATTGAGAAACCGGCCCTAAGGTGGGTTCTAACAAAAAATTTAATAACCTATAAATTTCTCATAGGTATATCTTATTTGGTGTCTGTAGATTCTCTTTTTGATTCTTATAATACTGTTTCAAAGAATCCAAACTTCTCTCTCTCATGCCCGGTGAAGCAGCATTGAAATTCCTGCATACATTCTCCCAGCCCTCGTTTTTTTCATGAATGGATAGAGCATCAGTTTTTTTATTTTCAATAATATTTTCAAGTCTTGCCACTATATTAATTAAGGCCTCCTTTTATGCTAATGTAAAATTCGCGCCCCTCTGCTTTTCAGAATTTGGTTCTTCCATTGCTCAAACTCTCAATCAGAAATACCCAAACACCGAAAAACCACAAAATACTAAAGACTATTATTTGTCAACTTTTGTCACACTTCTGTCGGTTTACTGAGGATTTCATAACGTTGCCATCGCCCCAAACTATTAAGTCCGACTTTGCCAAGTCGGCATAATTTGTCTAACTTAAAATTAAGACTTGACTTAGCTAAGACCAATTTAAGTTGCGGTTGGTGCAAGTAGGCAAAATTGACATTTATTTGGTCTTTCAGAACGTCCACTGGCGTCTAACGAGCTGCGAGCTCTGTGAGCAATTTTTAGATTATTTTAAGTAAGTACCGACCTACTACTGACTTATGTTTGATAATTGTTCTGGACAAAAATTTCGAAAGTACTGCAGTCGTTTGAAAAACGTCTTTTTTTAAAGCTTTTTTAAAACTTTCGTATCAAGGCGTTTTGAAAATATCTGTTTTCGACGTTTATATGATGTTTGATGTCCTCTTCCGTCTAGCTGTACTGGAACCTTGGCATTGCTGTAGATGTTCTAGATCAGCTGTCTGTGTCTCGTGAGAATTGTTCAGTCTCTCATTATTTGGCACATGGCTTAATGTTCTTGAATTCCTTTTAGAAGTACAAAAAAGTGACTTCAGCGAGGTAGAGGAGAAGGTAATATTCGTCGGCTTCTTCTATGAGAATTTTCAATCAGAAGTATTTACAAATACCAGTCTGTTCAAAAGGTTGGTTAGCTGGTAATTTTAGGTTGAAACAGGTTAGTGATAATCTTCTCGTTGTGATTTGTAGTTTTCTAGATCGTTGAATATCTATATCTTCGGAATCTTCATCAAATTTTTTAATAGATCACGATAGAAGCTTCCCACAGATGAAGAGATTTTGTTCTTGTCCTTGTCTATCTTCTGTTGTTTTGTTGGTAACGAGTTTTTATTTTAGGCATTTTAAATATTAACTCTTCTCTGCCACTTTCTATAATTGCTACTTTATTTTTCTTTATGTCTTATGAGAGATGGTTCTAGTTCTTTATTGATTTATCTATATCCAGTTATATTTCGTTTCCCATTGCTTAGAAGACTTCTTTTGCTGCTTGTTTGGAACATAAATCGTTTGCGGAGATTTCTTTATTATTTTTTTCATCATTATTTCTCTACTTTTTCAACAGCCACACTGAAGGTTCTTTTCTAGTTTGTCTGTATAATCTTCAATTGGTTTTTTAACAGTTTCTTTTTTGTCTTCAGTAGTGGGTTCCTTCGGATTAGGAGCATTTTCTAGATCTTTTTCCTGTTTCCTGCTTCTCAACTTCTTCATCTACTTTGAGAATAGTTTTCTCGGTTTCTGATCAATTATTTCATCACTAGCTGGTTTTTCAATTATGTCAGCATTATACTCGGCTTCAGGTTCAGCTTCAGCTGGTTTATCTTCAGCCAATGGAGATTCAATTTTAATATGCTCCTAAATTTCTTTTTTATATCTTCACTGGTTTGTCACTGGTCAAACTTCGGAATATTATCGTGACTTTCCAATTTAATGGACGCTTTGAAATCTTGAGTGTCAGAATAGACTTTTTCTTTAGCATCTCGTGGAAAGAAAAATCATCATCGTTTAGTAAACAATGGTAAGTACGACCAAGACCATTTCTGAAAAGGAGTAATTTAGAAATTAGAAAATGGCCTTCATATTTACACAAAAATTTACTTACTTTCCAACTCCGATAAGTAATTTCTTATCGTGTTTTCCTAGTACCCACCAATCAGGCATATTAGCCGAGGTTGTGCAAACTTGTAATCTTTCATCCAACTTTGGATGAGTCAAAATTTCTTCTTTTATCCTGTACAACAACTCTTACCTTTCCAAAGTCTTTCTAGCTTTTTCTTCATCAATATGTTCTATAGTTGAGACGTAACTGCCGTCTTCTATATTAATACCAGGGGCCCAATTCTTGAATAATCTCGTATGTGAAAATTGAGATGATTCCGAACGTTCCCTATTCAAT